CACGCACCACCATGCCCAGCTAATTTTTTGTATTTTTAGTAGAGATGGGGTTTCACCATATTGACCAGGATGGTCTCGATCTCTTGACCTCGTGATCCACCCGCCTCGGCCTCCCAAAGTGCTGGGATTACAGGCTTGAGCCACCGGACGTCCCCTTTTTAAAAGAGAAATATAAATAGACGGCTTAGTCACTGTCAAAGGGTAGTCATAAATAACAACAAACCATACATTTTCAAAAGAATTCCAGTACCCTGTTTTCCTTTTGAAATGCTTAATGAAAAGCTGCACAAAAAATTTCCTTGGATTAAGAATTCTGGAATAAACAAGAGGCAGGAACAGAAGTCCACGTGCTCTGTCTTTACTGGCTTTAATTGTTTTGGTTTCAAGCTAAGAAGCAAAATGTTCCTGCCAAGTGAATATTCATGTGCATGGGATGTTTTCTGCTTTGTTTCACTTAGGCGTTTGAAGAAATGTCCTGGTTTGTATCAGTCATACATCATTTTAGTGTAAGAGAAAACACACCCCTTGGAACAATTAAGGACTTGCAACTTATCATTAGAATGAGTAATAAGCTGCAATGTGTATTTAGAATTGGTTTTTAGAAATTAATTACTGAGATAAGTCACGAAATGCTGTACTGTTTTCTAACAATTAAAAACTACAGTTCCACAATTCATCAGTGAGAAATTTGTCAGGGCAATATGTTTATCATTTATCATTTTAGAAAGGGTCCACAAACTTTTTCTGTAAAGAGCCAGATAGTAAATATTTTCAACTGTGAGTCTTAGTAGCGTGCAAGCAGCCGGAGACAGTAAGTAAATGAATGAGCGTGTCTGTGTTCCAATAAAACATTATGTGTTACATGAATTATGTATTACATTTCATAGAATTTTAACATGTCTTAATATCTCATTCTTTTTTTGGTTGTTTTTTAAAACCATGTAAAAATGCAAAAACCATGTTTAGCTTTGAGTTGCAAACCAGATTTGGTACAAGTGCTATAGTCTGCTGACTGTTATAGAATATAAGACTATTATTATTTATACTAAGATGTTTGAGTGTTATTTTGAAGAGCAATGCATTTTTTCCCAATTGAAAATTATTTTATAAGTCTGGTCCAATGATTCCTATTTTTCAAATGCATTATTTGGGCTGTTGGAAGACTGCAGGATGTAGGCTAGCTGAGTGGCATGAGGTTGGACAAATTAAACTCTGACTGCGTTCCTCTCATTATGTTTTAATTCTGTTCATCAGTAAAAGAAACTTGTGCCATTGCCTCACTTGTTGCAATGAATAAATTGGTGTAGTTTTACAATGGAACAACTGCATGGATTCTTTTGCTGCCTGAAGACTTGAGTGTTGGGCTCCTCTTCATAAAAGTTTCCATGACAATCTGGCCTGAGAGAATGACAGGTTTGCCCTCATGGGGAATTTCTCATTAAGGAAGCTTTTCTTTCACTACGAAGCTTTATGGAGGCTTAATAGTGGGTCAAACAGAAAGGACCAAATAGGACCTTTTCATAAACCATACCTTATACCCTCCCTGGCCTGAAAGAGAGTTTGTTTCCTCCTGTGTGTGCTGATGGGGTGATGTTCAGAAGCTGAGAGGTTAGGGAAGACCACCATGCTACCCTGGGGTCCTTACTTCCTTGGGTAACCAAGAGACCCAGACCTAGGCATGTGTTATTAATACATGGGCTAAGCCAAGAATTGTAGGCCCCTAGCTTTGCTTATTGAAAGTCAGTGTGTGAAGTCATCAAGAAAGTGGGCTCTGAGCACAACTGAGTCTTTAGCTGGTTCTGCTATTTTCTAGCTTTGTGACTTTCACCTCTCTGTGCCTCAGTTTCCTCATCCGTAGAAGGGGTATGATGATAATAATTCTTCTCTCGCAAGATTGTTGTGGGGACAAAGTACATTAATATATGTAATGCATCTTAGAACAGCACTTGTCACATGACAGTGATAAATTATAGCTATTGGGATAATTTTCTTTCTTTTTGGCCTTGAAAGTAATACATTTGAAAACTCTTATTTGAAAGAAGATTTCTTTTCTCAGGTATAATCACTAGGACAATCCTTTCATCTCTTCCTTCTCATCCATGTCACTCCTTTATTCTACTGATGTATGTCTTCCAGACACCTTGCCACCCTGGCCTAATATTCATTTTGGATTCTGACCTTTGTTTTCTGCCCACTCTCTACATTTTGTTATATACTCAGCAATCTCCTGGACCTAAATTGAGAAACATTTGGGCCATATATAAAAGGAAAGCCCTGTTCATTAGGTTTAAACTAATATGTTGTCATGTAGCTATAGTATAGCCTAGCCTGGATTTGGTTAGAAATCTATAGGTTATGCAAGGCAGGTTTGTAGTAAGCTGCTCACCCACCTACCCAGAGCTGAGAAGCTGAAAACTTAGAGCCCAGTGGAGAAAACTAATAGTGCTCTGAGCATAGGCTTTATGGCTCGTCATGCTTTAATGGGGCTTCCCAGGGGCTTAGTGGAATGTTCTAAGGACACTCAATAAATACATTTGTGCTTGACTGTATATATTGGGTTTGTTTCTCTTTCCTGCCAACTGCTTTTTGGTTGGAGAGAGAAAAAGCCTTAAATGTGGCTGCACAGTATTTTAAATCCAGCCTAAACTGTTTTATCTTTCCTCCTGGGTCTATTCTGCCTGTGCTGTCTAGAACAGGGCAGGGGTGTGAACAGCTGTTGAGAGAAGCTTTTATTTTTGTTAATTACTAACCTGGATTCATCTACTCCTATTTTCTTGGAAGTGAGGTGCTACTTTTTTGTCTACTCAATGTAGGATTTTTTTTTTTTCTAAGAGTATGTGTTATATAAGTTATGGACAAAAGCAATTCTAAAAAAGTTTAATATGCTTGAATAAAATAAGGCCGTGTTGAAGAAAACCACCTGCAGATAAAGTGTGGGGGGGTGCATAATACTTATGAGAAGTCTTTGGATTTTTCTCTTTAGGGTAACTGTAAAACCCAGTTCTCAGCCCTGTAAGAAACAATGTATGCATAAAATACCTGCTAATTCCTTAAAACAAAACAAAACACACACAAGTCTAGTATTTAATCTCATAATTCTTCACTCCTTAGGTATCTGATTCTATAAGACATCCATATGAGGCACTCTCTTTGACTTAAAAGGGTATTTTGTGCATGCAAGAAATACCCAGAAAGGAATGAGACTTTGCTCCAGATATATTTTTATTTGATTGAAAGAATTAATTTGCTGTTGTATTAATCACTTATGCTTTAGGTTTATGTAGAGTTTACATTTGTTTAGTGATGCATTTTTATCCAGCATGTGAGATTGCTATTGTGTACAAAGGGCAAAACTAAGCCACATGTTAGGACAACCAGGCATGCAAATACCTGAGTCTGTCATTCAGTCCAAAGGTGAAGTACTTCTATCTCTGCAGTATTTTTACTGCAGATTTTCTGGGGTACAACTAGTGTTGCTTATGATAAATCTATGTTTATTTTTCTAAGAGAAAAATAAAAAATAAAACTAGCATTTTTAGTGCTTTGTGGATGCCAGGCATTATTTATACATAACTTTATTTATTCCTCACATTAGGCCTTAAGCATAGGTATTATGCTCATATTATAGAGTGAAAACTGAGGTTTGGGAATTAAATAGTGTATTAGTTCATCCTCATTCTGCTAATAAAGACATACTCAAGACTGGGTAATTTATAAAGAAAAAGAGGTTTAATGGATTCACAGTTTAACATGGCTGGGGAGGTCTCACAATCATGATGGAAGGTGAAGGAGAAACAAAGCCACATCTTACATGGTGGCAGGCAAGAGAGCTTGTGTAGGGTAACCTCCCCTTATAAAACCATCAGATCTCATGAGACTTATTCACTATCATGAGAACAGCACAGGAAAGACCTGCCCCCATGGGATTACCTCCCACTTGGTCCCTCCTACCTGGTTCCTCCCATGACATGTGGGAATTATGGGAGCTACAATTCAAGATGAGATTTGGGTGGGGACACAGCCAAACCATATCAAATAGCTTGCCTAACAGCCACACAACTGGTAGGTTGTAGAGAGACAGGGTTCATAACAAGGTCTGTCTCTTTTCACTAACCCAAATCACTGCCCTTCAAGCAGAGATGGTCTTTGTTGATCATCTAGCAGAAAATGCTCACTTGGGAAAGAGAAAAGTGTTCTGTAAATGAATTTAACCTTTTGTTTTTTGGTTATAGAAATAGATAGAAAAAGAATGCTACTTTTCATATTTTAAAAAAGCAAAAATTTGAAGCTTAAATTACTGAGAAATAGGCACAATTACTTGATTAAATTGTGTATATAAGTCTACATCGAGAGAATTATACGTTTAAAATTATTGCCCCATATAACTAATCAAATCCATAATCTGTGTCAAAGTGAGATATAATTTAATAAGCACAATGTAGACTGAAAAATGAATAGCTAACTGGTTGCTAACGTTAGTGTAATAATTAATTATAGTTTAGTTTTAAGAGAATTGCCAGTGATGGAATAAGAACTCAGGTTTTTGCAAATGCTTAAAAGCAACCACAAGTTACTGCTTCAAAGCAGAGACAAAATAGCCTTCATTTTTCTGCCAGAATCTTCTTTTAGCTCAGATGACCAAATCTACAAAGGAGAAAATGGGGACATTTTGCTATTCTAAAAAGGATTCCTGATATCCTTGTGAGGAAAGTTGTAAAAGACATGTACATTCTTCTAAAATAGGTTATCTATGGGCTATCTTATTACTGCACAAAATTATTTCATTTTTCTTAGTCTTG